ATGTATAGCGGTAGTCTCACTCTCTCCAACAACAACTTTTTTTTTTCTCCCAGTTTCAAACTTCTGGTGCGTTGTGGAAGTAGGACCTCAAATAACAGGAGGTGTGAAATTCTGTCTAAACCATAATCAATATTCTATGTTTATCTGATTGATTTTGAAAAACAGCATTTCACTGATATTATCTGCTTATATTAATGCTCATCAAATCTCAGAGGAAAAAWATATGAAGCTAGCAAGCACATGGGTGTCTTGGTGGACAAATTGGCAAAGAAATGAGTTGTTGTCCCACAAAACTCAAACATGTAAATGGCTTGAACATGTCTCACTGCTCATTCTAAAATTTAGTTTCATAATCACTTTTTTAAAAATTAAATCAGTTTAAATCAATTCAGTTGTTCTGTGAACCACATTCAGTCTTTTACTCATCAGGAAATCTCTGTGTAATAAAAGCTCACAATGTTTGATCTCATCAGATTCAGGTTCAAAATGTTAGTGTCACAAAGAAAGCAACGCTTGTTCCAACGACCGAAGCTCAAACTGTACGAGGCACAAACTCTTTTCTTACTTCTGCTGACCTCTGTGTAAACTTTTACTTTCACCAGCAAAATAAAGCTCACTCATTCGTACACCAAACTCAGACATGACTACAGAGGCATCAGATCATTTACTCTGTAACTCCAAGACATAAAAATATTACARAGAACTGATATGAGTCAAACTGGGGCAGTTCAGTCACAACATTTAGAGCCAGATTCATCTTCCTCATTAATTATTTCCAACATGTCTGACTTTATTTTAAGAAACCAGGTTCTTTTGACTTTGCCTGGCTTCCAGCTGACTCTGTTTTTAGAGATTGGATTTTTACAGTTAATCTCTTCCAATACAGGTGTTACGGATGGCAAAAAGTGTTTTCTTTTAGATGATGATTGTCTGTAATGATTGTGTTTGTCTGATTGCATGTACATCCCAGATGTCCACACCTCAGTGATTCATGATTTTCTTTACCTTTTTTTATGGATTTGATCAGGAGGACCCCCCCCCCCCCTGCAGGAAACTTTACTTTTTTATCACACCCTAAATGATTTGAAATAATTTTGAGAACCAGGTGGTAGGTGAAACACTGTACTATGTAAAATAACAAAAAWTATCTTTAACTTTATAAAATCGGTTTAATTTGCTGCATAAAATCATTATTTTAAATTAAAAAATTGATTTAAAATCTATGGTTCAGGACCAAGGTGTGAATCGAGTTTAGGTTAGTTTTAGGATAAATGGTCAGGGTTAGGCTATAAAATTACCAGAAAATGAATGGAAGTCAATCCACGGTCCCCACGGGGATATAAAAATAAAACGTGTGTGTAAATATAAATATATATGTTCTAGTTTTTCTGTATTAGAAATGTCATTGATTTTCTTAAAAAAATAAACCTACCCTGTGAATAGATATTCAATTTACACACAGGATAGAAGGGACAATGGGCCTCATGGAAGAACATGTTCGTATTCTCATCCTAAATTTCTCTTACTTTTGTTCGTACGAAGGGTTCGTACGAACATGTCACGTCAGATCCAACAAACTCTTCTATCTTCATGAAAAGTGTGTAAATGAGCTGCGTAAGCATGATGAATTACACCTGTTTGCATCAGCTGYTCGTGCACACGGAGAGGTAATTTAACATAATTACCACCTCAAAAACACCATATAAGGCTACGTTTCCTGCTCCACATACCGGACGTGCCCGTTCATGAATGACATTGCAAAGTAAAAAATTAAGAACTTAACGAATTCGGAGATTGAAGTCCTGCTCTCCGAGATCGAGAAAAGAAAATTTGTTMTTTTTAGCAGCGTCATGTGGAATTTGATGAGCTGCTTAAAGGAATGAAATGTGTTGTTAATGTCGTGTCTCCTGGGTCGTTACGGTCACAGAAATAAAAATCTAAATCATATTCATCTCTCTCTAGTCCAGCTCCGTTTTTTTCTTTGGTCAACTATTCTTAGTTTAAGTGTAAACAACTGTGTTACTGTCGTTACATTTATTCAGAAGAAGGGTGGTTGCGCACCGCCTGCCCGTCTCCCCCCTCCCAGCGGTCGCAAGTGACAGATGCCGTTCTGAAAAGATGAATTTTAAAACATCTCCAAACTTCAATTAATGCATAATTAAATTTTTTTTGGTTTGTGATCTTCATATTAATATTGTAGTGTTATACAACAGCATTAAAAGACAATTTAACTTATGTCGTTAAAATCTAATTCCAGTTCAAACAGAATAAGCTATTGTCAACATAATTATGGAGTGTGATTTATTTTCAACTCGAAATATTTTCTAAATAATGAAATATAAAGTTCTTAGTGAAGAAAACTCATCTGGATAACAGCAGACTGACTGCTCGTARAATATACGACAGGTCTGGACCACTCGTGAATTTTGTTCGTATCTGAAAAAAATCTTAGAATA